TTAAGAGTCTATATATTTTCTATCTAAAAACACATTACTAGCCAGGAATGGTGGTGCACACCTACAATCCCAGCACTTTAGGAGACTGAGCCACAAGGTTCATAAGATCAAGCCCAGCCTAGGCAACCCAGAAAATGCACAAGATCTTGTCTGAAAATAAAAAATTAGGAAAGGGTTGGGGATGTAGCTCACAAATACATTAATACCTTACACTAGGGGCTGGAGAGATGGCTCAGTGGTCTAAAGCACCTACTTGAATCAAGCTTGGCGAAGCACAGGGACCACGGTTCGATCCCCAGCACCACATGCCAGCCAGCCCCGCCCCCTGGTGGGCTGAGCTGGCCACACACACACACAATAAATAAATGTAATAAATAAAAAATAAATAAATATTAAAAAAAAAAAAAAAAATACCTTACACTAATTAGGAAAAAAAACAGAGGGAAATCAATACTGTTTAAAAAGGCAACAAACAAAAATGACCATACAACTCATAGTTTAGCATTCTATATATACATTATACTGAAAGTTTAATAGTATTCCAAGTATTTAATGCAATTACTATTATTGTTTTAAAAATACACATGTGATCAGTGACTTTTCTAGCTCAACAATCCATAACAACAATGAGTCCTATTTACATCCTGTGTAATTCCATGGAGGTTCTATGAGTTTCCATATATGGTGATTTTCACTGATAGACCCCCCCACTCCCTACCCCCAGAGTTTATACAGGATATGAATCTAGTCCATTGTGACAATAAAAACAACAAATCTCTGAAAATTCATGTAGTTTCTGCTGAACAAATTACAAACTAATAATCAGGGAGACTAAATACTGAAATGGAAATAAACTATTGGAATTTTTATTCCATTTTTGTACTAGTGAAATAAGTATATAAATATCCAGAAGAAAAGTTATTTCTTAGTTTGAAATATTCTCTTGACTCTAAATATTAAAATGTCAAAATTATGTTGTCAGAAGATGACACAGTAAATAAGTAAAAAAGTTTCGGCCTTTAACTCTCCAAACTCTAATGCCACCATATTCCAACACCAATCTCTGCAATCCATAATTGCTTTTTCTTATTTGTAAAACACAACAGTTTGTGATATTCTTACTGAACTAAAAACATGCAATAATATTTTTTACATATAATGATCTAAATGCATGCCTAGAGAAGAGATTTCACATATACATTTAAGTATATAAATCAAATGAAAGCATCTAAAATCCAACACTGCTAACTACTAACAGCCAGATGAAAGTTGTGAGGAACTGAAAAGCAGACAGTTCCAATTTAATGCACTTACCAATAATTAAAATAAAAAGCAACTGCTGACCTTCTGGTGCCTATCATAGACAAATTAGGGACACATACTCAAATCTACCTCAGAGTCTGGCTACCTACCCAAAGTGGTGTGGGAACCCAAATTATGAAAGGGAAGATGTGTGAACCAGTCATACCAAAGCTACAGAGAAATGTGGATCTCCTAACTGCTCATCTACCAGCTTCCATCTCCACAAAGTTCAGCCAGGTGGATCTGACATTACCATTTTGTTGGTACTTCAGGGATTCCTTTCCTCTGCCAAAGATGCTCAGATATTCTCTTTAGTTTATTGTAAGTACAGTAATCTGGGGAAGAAGAATAAAATGATGCTATTTGCCCCAGGTATACACTGTTTCTCATTAGGTAATTATACACTTTCCCAGTAGCCTCACTGGGCTAAAAGGCAGGTCTTGAGATGACATATTAATGTGTTACACCAGATACAACTCCCAGCACAGCACATATTACATGGAACCCTTCAATAGTACCCTTGAGAGATGAAAAAGTTAAACATGGGAAAGGGGAAAAAAGGAGAAATGAACTAGTAAATGTTCACCATATTTAAAGTGTCTATTCTTGAAGGAATAACTAGCTTTATGAAGGAGGATGTAACCAAAACCAGTTTTTCTTACCCTATAAATATTTTGTCTCCTAACCAGCTTTCCTTATTCCACAAAAAAAAAAAGTTTTAGAAAAAAAAAATTTTAAGACTGAGAAATTCAACTGATTTATTTTAAATAAAAACTATCATTAAATCAAGTAGCCCAAATACATATTTTAATGAACATCTTCAATAAAACTTTATTGACAGTAATTTCTTCTTATACCTAAATTACTCTGAAACTAAAATTTCATTTCTTCAAAGTAGATAACAGAACAGACGTACTGCTTCCAGTTGTATACATGGGAAATTTCAGTAGAGTACAAGCTCAGTGAAATACATAAAAATGTTAAACAGAGATAAAGAACACCTCAGACAACTGCATTTCCCACTTCATAATGATTAACCTACTAGTATTATAAAAGCAGGCCCAAAATACATGATGGCTGATCTATAAAGCTATGGGAGGTTCCTAGTTACTAAATGACAAGAGACAAAACTGGTACCACTGAAGGCAGTGACCAAAATAACGTCAGGCATAAATGGTGTTGCTAGACCTGTAGAACACCGTAACTTCGATGAAGTGGGGACACAAATTTTTTGTGGTTTGAAAACTTTCTAAGGGGAGCATTTAGGTCAAGCAGTATTATTTCCTTGATGCACGACATATTATATGACACTCAGTTTACTGCAAATCCTTGAATTAATGGTCAAAAACATGAAATCAACTTAATTAGGCCAATATTTGAAAATAAAGACATTTTATTCTGTGGTAGGCAAAGAACAATGATAAAGGAAAGAAAATCAAAACGGGTCACTTGCAAAGTAAGACATGGCGTCAGGTCAGCACGGTGGCCCTACCGGCACACGGGAGCAGCAACAGTGCCGAGGAAGGCCGCCGCAGAACGTCCCGGGAAAGGAGGCGGCCTCCGCCTGATCTGGCCAGTGCTCCTCAGGTGTAAACGCGGGCCAGAAGGCTCCACACTGACACTCATGCGTCTTGCTACACTGAAATCACACTTCAATTTAAAAATAAAAAAAATCTGATATAAATAGGTAGTATAACCAAAAATCATGAATAAAACTGTAAAATATTTAGAATAAGTGAGAAAAAAACTAACTTTCCCATGACTTACTGTACTGCATACAAAGTAGATAATTAAACTATTTCTTAAGACAGTTTAGTAAAAAGACCACAGGTGGTAAGGAAACTCCTTTAAGCAAATTAGAATTTCAAATGTGACCTTTTTATGCATGTACTAAACACAGTTTCAAGCCTATAAAATAACCTCCAAAAGGTGGAAATCAAAGGCCTAGAAAGCTATGCTTGAAAAACACAAAGAAAACACACTTTTTCTAACTCTGAATACAGACTTAAGATATCTTCTCATCTAAAAAAAAAATGCACCCATTTTCCACCTTTAATGTCCTTAACAGTATAAATCTATGAGCATCTCATGACAAGTAAGAAATAGAACTTAACATTTGGTTAACCAAAAAACACTCAATATCTACATGATAATGTTGTCTTGTAAATATTCTATTCTGTTCAGTAATCTAGTAGATATGGAGACCAAAAACAACTAGCATTTTTATGAAGAGAGAGTACAACAATTTTTTTTTCAGACACTAAAGGAACACTATCAAAAGATCAGGTGTGATGATCACGAAAGGCTGTCCATCTATTTCATTAAAACAGGCGAAGCAAGGGTAGCAGTACTGGCCTCAAGAGCCCAAAGACTCGCACACTGAGTTTCGCCTTCCAAGTCCTAAATACAACGATAGAACTAGCTTTCCTTCAGTATACAATGTAAGCACTTCTGCCCATACCTAGCTTCCTACATAAACAAAATTCCATGACTGAAATGAAACTAGGAGGTGTCTGCCACTTACTGGTCCACTTCTGTGTCTTGGGTGACAATCATTCTGAACGTACTAGTAATCGAACTCAAAGGCTGTTTTAAAATTATTAGGGAGACAATGCTGTCATATGCTGAGTGAGACATTATTCTGTCTTCTTATTAAGCAGTGTCATAATTTCAGATATGAGAAGCTTCCAAAATGAAACAATAAAAACAATCCTTTAGAAAAGCCAATCAAGACATAAAAGAACTCAGAATTATTAGCTCTCTTAAAACACTACTATTCTGCAATAACCATCAGCTACTAAAATAGTCACACTGACACCTAAAATCAGAAAGTAAAGCAAATTACAAGTCCATAAGTAATCAGTTCCCTAAATGTAATGCTGCTGTTTAATGCCCTAGGCCAGTAGATTAAATATCTTCAGAAATTCTCAACTGTCACCTTTGTTTATAGATAATGACAAAACATTCTGCAAAGCCTATACAACTGCACTGACAAATTACATCAGTCTGTACCCAACATTAAGTAATCATCAGGCAAGTTATCACATTTTAAATACCAGTTTTCAGATGTCTACAATTGCTGTCCAGCGCAGCCCATTGTGCAAGGCCTGCTCTGCACCACAGCAATTTCACTGTGTAAGTTTTCAGATAGATACAGTGCTGCCGGACAGTGAGGCTACCGAACATTATAAAAGTGGAGCCACTGTGAAAACAAATCAATCTTCAAAAATAAGGCTATTTTAAAATCTACATATTTAATCTGTTTTTGTAAAAATACAAAGAGTATATAATGGTATCCTTCTCTCTCCCAGATGAAAAATGTTAGCCCTTCCTTTTTCTATAAACACCATCGTCTCAGATCTTCCACCATCTATTTTAGGATTTGAGCACCATTCTGAGCCCACAACAATAGGTCAGTGACAGGCCTTATCCCATCAATTAGCACATTCCAGAGAGCTGGGGGGTCCTGTCTTCCTACCTCCCTCCTGGAGGCCCGGTTTCTATCACATTGCCATCCCTACCCTCAAGAATGAAGAATCCCGTGAAGGGGAGTACCTTCTGAGGCCAGTCTCTCCGTATTTAGACCCAAAACACTAATATCATTAATTATCTAAGAAAAGCGATAAGAATTCCAAGCCCACAACACCATGACAGCAAGCAGATTCTAAATTGCAGAGAAGTGCAATCCATTTACTTACATGAAGATTCAGTGCCAAACATGGCTGGCTCCCCAAGCTGGTTTAAAAAAATTTTTTTTGGAAGAAAGATAAAAAGGGAAGGAAGAAAAAGAAAAGAAAGTGTGCCTATGGGAGTGCAGAGATGAGCCGACTACACAGCAGGGGTCATGGAGCCAGACAATGCAGTCCAAGCTGGGTCCAGCTGCCAGATTCTCCTATGAGCTGCAGTTTTCTCCCGGTGAATGAAAAGCAAGGTCTCCGACAGCACCCAAAGCTGAACAGATGCTTTTGAAAATCCACTAGGCAAAGGAGGGCAGCGCGGCTCTTCTCAGATGCAGTGAAGCAAGACCAGGTAGCAGCAGGGGCAGCACTGGGTGCAGTAGCTAAGCAAATACTGCAATCTTCAGCCCTGCTGTAGCCGTAAGACAATAGCAGGGCTCATGCATACGCTAGATGACGTCAGGGACACTGCACAGACTGCCTGTGCTGCTTGAGCCAGAGCTCCAGGGGCTTCAGGGGAGCAGCGCGATTCAAAGGGTAATTCCTTTGTCACAAAATGCACAAGACCAAAAACCACACACACATGCTCCCTCCTGAAGAGCTCCTCATCCTGAGATACCAGGCACTGAGAGACTTCAAAGAAATTTAAATACTGGCTTTCAACCAACTAACCACAAAGATATGCAGATCAGGGTTCTTGGTTTTATTGTAGCAAATACAACTTTTCAAGGGACTGAAGAAGCCAAAAACAAAAACAAAAATCTTCAAAAGTAGTTAAGGCCGCAGGGGTGTGGTTCAGTGGCTTGTGTGTCTTTAGATTTAGTCCCCAGGACCACAGAGAGGGTAAAAGTAGTTATTAAACAGTTCAAGGCTATTTTCTCTTAAGTTATGGTAGACTGACACATCAGGAGTTGTACACCCTCAATCAAAAATGAAAGTACATACATACTGTTGTACACAAGATCTGGCATTTACACACACACACACACAGATGTACTCACAGAGAAACACTGCCTGGCAGAGTACTCCAATTTTAATAATGACATTATCAATTATTGTGCAACTATTTCACAAATGTAAGAAAAGTGCTATCCACATGTATGTACACGTTTCTTTAGCTTTTGCTTTATTTTTCACTTTTGTCTCCTCAGAATTTGTGGCATCTTCCAGAGTAACTCAAGCATTGTACACATACTTGAATGTACCTGTGTATGAGTGAGCATTTCTGTGGCCAACAAATTTACTTTTAATCAAACCCACCAAAAAAAAAAAACAAAAACCTGAAGGTAATAACACTTTGGCTCTACTCACTGGGCAAACAAACGTTACAAATACATTATTAAGGAACAGGGATATAGCTCAGCGACACAGTACCTGCCTGGCAAGCACAAGGTCGCAAGTTCTCCTGGTACAGAAAATATGTGAAATAAAAATAAGACACATTCCTAGAAATAGCATATAAATTTTCATTAGAATTTACCATAAGCAAAAATTTTACTACTCAATGCAAGCAGAAAACTACTCAACAAAAGCAAAAAGTTTTGTTTCACAATTCTACAAATATTAAAAGGCACAAAAAGTATACGTGTGTATGAATCCAGAATCCTACACTTGAGAATCATATAGAGTAAGAACTCGAGAGCACATGTCTCCTGTCTACACAGTCACCCAAAATACATACCCTTTCCAACAATTTCTCTGGCATATAAAGACCCGTCTTAACATAGATACGGTATGTAAACATTAAGTTGTGCTACGCATATGGAACTGCAAATTACCCTCTCAAAATATCATTAGTAGCATTTCTGGTCACTATATGTAGGTCTACCTCATCTTGTTAATAGCTCCATAAAAATTTATTGTATTAATATACTAGAATTTATTCAAGGTAGCTTGACCTTCAGCTCACTGAAAATGTTAAACCATTATGAAAAAAAAGTATGATGATGCTACATAAGATACAAACCAATCTCTTGTTGCAAGAAAGAATGACAATAGTTAATATTTACTGCTTACTATGTGTCTGACCCTATTCTGGGTCAGAGAATAGATAAGAACAACCTAAGAGATAGATACAATTTTCCGCATTAGACAGGTGGCTAACAGTTTGCCAAAATTATACCAGTAGTAAACTGTATTCTGAGATGCAAACCCAGGCAGCTGGTTCCAAAACCACTCTACAATAATGTTTCTTGAAAATGAATAAATAACTGCCAAAATAATACAGCATTTTAAAGATTAAACTGTGATAAAGGGAAAACAGAAACCAACTGAAAATGTAGAAGAAAAAAGCTTAAAAGAGAAAATCACCAGTGAAAACTAAAAAATAACAGAAAATATCAAAAGTCACAGCATTAATAAAAGTACAAACTGAATGGGGCATAGTTGGGCATGCCTGTATTCGCAGCACTCAGAAGGCTGAGGCAGGAGTATCACTGAGTTCAAGGCCAACCTGGGCTTTACAGTGCGTACAAGGTCAGGCTGAACTATTATATAGTGAGACCCATTCTCAAAAACAAATAAAATCACAAATCAATAATAATGTATCCTTTCAAAAATAATCAGATCAACAGCTAAGGGGGAATATCAATAATGGTGAGGAGATTTAACTTTACAAGTTGGAAAGGGAATCAGAGTTCAAAATGGTTGAACCTACACCAAAAAATTACCTTACATAAGTTTTGTTGTTGTTTTACCCTGTGAAAGATCTAGTTTAAGTTGCATAAAAGATGTATGTGGGGCAAGGGATGCAACTCAGTTATACAGCACATGACTAGCATATACAATATAGCCGGATTCAATCCCCAGCACTGCAAATAAAATGGTTTACATTCATCATGTAATTCAGTGGTATCCCAAATTTTCTGATCAAGGAGATTATGGGGCCACAAAGGAAAGTGATCGATGATGTAGAGTGTGCCTAAGGAGAATCACATGGATAGAAAATATTCTCTCAGGCTTTCACAGAGAGCAAATTGGTCAAGCAATGGCCATGATTCATCCACATGGCTGACACAGACAAAAGATCTACAAACTGCGGCACAGGGTTTCAGGGTAAATCCTGAGGGGATTTGAGTGACCTTGTCAGATACAAGTTACGTTTCTTGTTATATAGGTCTTGCTTTACCTTGGTCTTAACCATCCAAAAGAAAAGTATAAAAACAAAGTATAAAAAGTAAAGCCATATTAATAGGCTGAGCTGTAAAAGGCTCAAGTCACTAACTTCTGACATTGCCAGTCCTATGGCTAGCCCACTACTATTATGGACTACTGGACTGTATTGGATTAGTTTGCTGAATTCATGCACCTACAATATTTAAATGATAATAGAATACCCATCTCTGACAAAACTAAACAAAAAAAAAGGGATACAAAGGAAGGACCATTTTGTATCTGTATACTCAAACTAGGATAGATATACAGCTACTTTCTCTTAATTCATTGAATAGAAAGATTTGTACTAATAGTATTTGTAGACAGGATATCATGTCTGCATCTTGTACTATGAATAACCACTAAGAAGACAACAATATGCAATGTATTAATTATTGAAACTGTCCTTCTAATCGGTTTTGAAACTGTCTCACTGCTATTTGTTTCTCAATAAAATTATTTTTAAAAATGTTTTACATTAATACTCACTCAAATAGGGGCTAGATGTGGTCCCTAGAGAAGCAAAGGAAAAGGAAGAGTGAGAAAAGGGTTCACAAGTAACTTTTCTAACAGAGGCCATGATCTATATGTTATGACTGCTTTACCAACACATGTACATGTCTTTTTCAACTCCTACTTGTGTACATACATGTACATGAAAATGCATTTTTCTGAGGACTTATATTTATTTTTGTACAGAGTTGAAAGAGTAAGTTAAGAGCCAGGGAAATAGCTTAGTGGCACAGCACCGGGCTAGTAAGTGTAAGGTCCCAAGTTTGATTCCTAGTACCAAAAAAATAAAACAAAACAACAACAACAAAAAAAACCCAGTAAGTTAAAGACTACAGTATTTTTTAAGTCTACTTCTTAAACAACTGAAACAAAATCAATAAATGTACTAAAAACATTGGTCATCTCACTTGTCAACAACACTGGGTACTGACTTCTAAGAAGCCTTCTGTGATCTCTAGGCCCGAAGTGTTCCTAAATTCTTCAGAAGGTTTGGATTCACACTGCTGATGATCCAGCAGTATAAAAAATAAAAAGTTTCCAAAATAATTTCCTCTAAATTACTCTCTCTGCTCAGCTCAGAGAATGAACCCAAATGTTAACATGCCACCAAGGAAAACATAACGATGGTGAATGAAGGAGCACAAAGCAGATCGAGGCTCCTCACTGAAATCTCACGTAATACATTTCAAAGCCAAAATGACCTCTGGATTTACTCTAATTATCCCTGCCTGCACTTTTTCTCTTCCATTCACAAGTACTACTATTAATTTTGGAATAAAATTAGCTACAAAAGAAAAGATTAATAATCAAAATAATTATTACAAAATTTGAAAACTATTGATAAATACTGAAAATCTTTTTCTTTCTTTCTTTTTTTTTTTTTTTTTTTTTTGATGGCCAGCTCAGCCTGCCCTGGAGCGGGGCTGGGCAGCATGTGGTGCTAGGGATCGAACTGCGGTCCCCACATGCTTGCTTAAGCAGGTGCTTTAGACCACTGGCCCCCTGAAAATCTTAAGGTAAATAAAAAATCACTTTTCAAGGAACCCCATTCACATATAACTCAGTATTTCCTGGAAGTCTGCTGCTCTACATGCGAGCAGCACAGCCATAAACTGCCTTCCCTGCGCTTACACCCCCCGGGTGGGACAGGCAACTATGTAACATGCAGTTTATCAAGGAAGGGGTTGTACACACTATGAAAGAAAAATTTAAAAAATCAAAATAAAATGAGTGAGTATGAGTGCTGCTTCACAAAATCTGTTGGGTAGGGCTGCCTTTTTTAGGTAGACATTTTGACAGAGACCTGAAAGACACAAAGTGAAACCATACAAATAACAGAAATCATACAGAACGCTGTGGCAAAGGCCACACACACAGTGCTGTTCTTTGGCTTGGTGCATAGGAACTCTTGAATCATCAAGTAACAGTTTTCATAGGGAAGCTGTCCCCTCCAGTCCACAAGATGTCACTAGCAGAAGAGCCCTGTACAAAAGTGCTGACAGCACAGTAAATTCTCTTCTTTAACCCCAAGTAACTCACTATCCCATGAACTTCAAGTATGAACTTTTTTTTAAATTTTAGAATACCTATATTTTCAAATGTGTAAATATTTGTAAAACTCAGTATAAAGGACAATATTTAAAATAGCTAACATGAGCTAATTTAGTGTATTTACTAATGCACAAGAAC